GTACTACAGTAATACGCTGTACTTCAGTAATACGCTGTACTACAGTAATACGCTGTACTACAGTAATACGCTGTGCTGACGCTATACTACAGTAATACGCTGTACTACAGTAATACGCTGTGCTGACGCTATACTACAGTAATACGCTGTACTACAGTAATACGCTGTGCTGACGCTATACTTCAGTAATACGCTGTACTACAGTAATACGCTGTACTACAGTAATACACTGTCCTGACGCTGTACTACACTAATACGCTGTACTACAGTAATACACTGTACTACAGTAATACGCTGTACTACAATAACACGTTGTCCTGATGCTGTACTACAGTAATACGCAGTACTGACCCTATACTACAGTAATACGCTGTGCTGACGTAATACTACAGCAATACGCTGTACTAAAAAATACGCTTTGCTGACGCAATACTACAGTAATACGCTGTACTACAGTAATATGCTGTACTACAGTAACACGCTGTACTAAAGTAATACGCTGTGCTGACGCAATACTACAGTAACACGCTGTACTAAAAAATACGCTTTGCTGACGCAATACTACAGTAATACGCTGTACTACAGTAATATGCTGTACTACAGTAACACGCTGTACTAAAGTAATACGCTGTGCTGACGCAATACTACAGTAATACGCTGTACTACAGTAATATGCTGTACTACAGTAACACGCTGTACTAAATTAATACGCTGTACTAAATTAATACGCTGTACTACAGTAATACGCTGTACTACAGTAACACGCTGTACTACAGTAATATGCTGTACTAAATTAATACGCTGTACTACAGTAATACGCTGTACTACAGTAACACGCTGTACTAAATTAATACGCTGTACTACAGTAACACGCTGTACTACAGTAATATGCTGTACTAAATTAATACGCTGTACTACAGTAATACGCTGTACTACAGTAACATGCTGTACTAAATTAATACGCTGTACTACAGTAATACGCTGTACTACAGTAATATGCTGTACTACAGTAACACGCTGTACTAAATTAATACGCTGTACTAAATTAATACGCTGTACTACAGTAATACGCTGTACTACAGTAACACGCTGTACTACAGTAATATGCTGTACTAAATTAATACGCTGTACTACAGTAATATGCTGTACTACAGTAACACGCTGTACTAAATTAATACGCTGTACTAAATTAATACGCTTTACTACAGTAATACGCTGTACTAAAGTAATACGCTGTGCTGACGCAATACTACAGTAATACGCTGTACTACAGTAATACGCTGTACTACAGTAATACGCTGTACTAAAGTAATACGCTGTGCTGACGCAATACTACAGTAATACGCTGTACTACAGTAATACGCTGTACTACAGTAATATGCTGTACTACAGTAACACGCTGTACTAAATTAATACGCTGTACTAAATTAATACGCTGTACTACAGTAATACGCTGTACTACAGTAACACGCTGTACTACAGTAATATGCTGTACTAAATTAATACGCTGTACTACAGTAACACGCTGTACTACAGTAACACGCTGTACTAAATTAATACGCTGTACTACAGTAATATGCTGTACTACAGTAACACGCTGTACTACAGTAACACGCTGTACTAAATTAATACGCTGTACTAAATTAATACGCTGTACTAAAGTAATACGCTGTGCTGACGCAATACTACAGTAATACGCTGTACTACAGTAATACGCTGTACTACAGTAATACGCTGTACTAAAGTAATACGCTGTGCTGACGCAATACTACAGTAATACGCTGTACTACAGTAATACGCTGTACTACAGTAATACGCTGTACTAAATTAATACGCTGTGCTGACGCAATACTACAGTAATACGCTGTACTACAGTAATATGCTGTACTACAGTAATACGCTGTACTAAAGTAATACGCTGTGCTGACGCAATACTACAGTAATACGCTGTACTACAGTAATACGCTGTACTACAGTAATACGCTGTGCTGACGCAATACTACAGTAATACGCTGTACTACAGTAATACGCTGTACTAAATTAATACGCTGTGCTGACGCAATACTACAGTAATACGCTGTACTACAGTAATACGCTGTACTAAATTAATACGCTGTGCTGACGCAATACTACAGTAACACGCTGTACTACAGTAATACGCTGTACTACAGTAATATGCTGTACTACAGTAACACGCTATACTACAGTAATACGCTGTACTACAGTAATACGCTGTACTACAGTAATACGCTATACTACAGTAATACGCTGTACTAAAGTAACACGCTGTACTACAGTAATACGCTATACTACAGTAATACGCTGTACTACAGTAATACGCTGTACTACAGTAATACGCTGTGCTGACGCAATACTACAGTAATACGCTGTGCTGACGCAATACTACAGTAATACGCTGTACTACAGTAATACGCTGTACTAAAGTAATACGCTGTGCTGACGCAATACTACAGTAATACGCTGTACTACAGTAATACGC